TTAACGAGTTTCATTCTCAGCACAGAGATAAATCAAACTAATTTACATCGTTTTCTGTAACATTTCAGTGATTTGATCGAGCTCAAACGACAGCTGACTGGCGGCTCTGCTCACGCTGCCCAGCTCCCTCAGGTCTCCAGCTGCTGACAGCGCTATCTGGGGTCGGAGAGGCTGTTATCTACCTCCTGCCCTGTAACACTGAGCTGCTTGTGTACCAGATTTACATATAATCGTGTGTGTGTGGTGTGAGGTAAGTTAGTGTCTCCTGTATCTTCTGTTTCCTGACTCTGAAATCAGGCCTTACTATAACGTTCACAAATGAAGGACTTTTATTTTGACACCTGGACTATGGAGGGGAAATGGGAAATGAGAAATGAGGTGAACTTTTTCAGGGATCATCAGTGGAAAACCAGGTTTCACCAAGCAGCTCTTCAGTGGATGGAGATCTGCAGACGGTGAGTTTGAGGATTAGTGTTTTTGGGGATCGCTGTGTCCCTGATGCTGGACTCTGATGGTTGTGGACGGTTCTGCTCCCTCTCAGGCTGAACATGACTGTAAACAGGGTTACCTGTGGTGTGAATGTTTGTGTTGGGGTTAAAACTCAAACAGAACCTGGATGATGATGGGATTTAACTGCTGGAACCGCTTTGCTGGCTGGTTAGTGAACGTTTTGTGGTCACACTTTATTTTGATGGACCCATCAGATGATCAATAAACCTTCTGGTCATGGTTGAGTATCAACAACACTATGGTCAGGGTCAGGGTCAGGGTTAGGGTTAGGAGTAGGTGTACACTTTTAAAAAAAGATGGTTCTTCAAGGGTTCTTTAGTAAAGAAAATGGTTCTGTATAGAAACTTGAACATTCAAAACACGCTTAGCATGATTAAAGGGTTCTTTGCATCATAAAATATTGATGAAGAACGTGTTGTACATGGTTCCATATGGAACCTTTTTGAAAAGCGTTCTTCTATAGTAACAAGCTTGATATCGTAACTATAGAAGAAACCTTTTTCTACATAGAACCCTTTTCAAAAAGATTCTATGTAGAACCATCCACAACACATTCTTCACTAATCTGATAGACTCTTTCACGAAACAAAGAACCATTTAATCATGCAAAGGGTTCTTTGAGTGTTCAAGGTTCTATATAGACCCATCTTCTTTACTGAAGAACCCTTGAAGAACCTTTTTTTTAAGTGTAGGTTTTGAGCTAAAGCTAAGATTAGGGTTGGGTTTAGGGTCAGAACTCAGAATAGAATCTTCCACACCGAACTTGAAGTCCAGTTGTATTTAGTAGATGTTTATTTGAATGTTAGTTGAAGACAGACGGAGCTTCTACAGACGGACCATCAGAACAAAGTGACCAGCTTTGTTTGTTGTGATGTTCTTGATTGTGAGTGTGGCAGTGATTTAGGTGAACTGTTCCATTTGGACCAACAGGATGATAGTGATAGTGATAAGGAACGTTTGTCAGTGATTGCTCGTGTTTCACTTACAGTGCTCTGATTTTGACTCGGTAGTTTTGTTTAATTGCGATTTTTCATTTTTAAATGACATTATCGATGTTCCAGATTGACTTTTGACTTTTTCATACATATTGATCACACTGCTTCCTGTTTACACACTTACATTCCTGTTTACAGGATTCCCATTCTTTAATTCAGCAGGTCTGCTGTGTTCTAAGTACCTAACAGTGTATGTATCTGCTTTATTACATCACACCTTAAAAGGCTACGTCACCATAGAAATTCCTGGCTAACCACCACCAACCCAAGCCCCATGTTCTAGTGCGGTTCTACACTCTTCCTCACAGTAACTGAGACCAGTCTGCCACAGCGCCACCCTGAGGCACAGCAGTGCTGCAGCTCTAGTTAGTTAAGAACACCAGAGACAGAAGCTGTTTGTGGGTAAAGCAGATAAACAATCAGCTTCACTGAGTCTGGATTTGAGCATTTATTTTACCCTAATGGTCAGGATGTTAATTTTGAGACATTCAGGGGGTTCATGAGGTTAATTAGGGATCCTAGACCCCCCAGGACCCCTGTAATGGCCATGTAATGATGTTGAAAGTTTAAAATCTGTATGATTCGAGTATAAAATGAGGTTTGTGTTCATAAGCACTCTCACTGCTACACTTTAACTACAGCTGTGTCTGAATAGGTGGATTAATCCTCCTTTTCTCTCGTTGCTTTCGCTCTGATCTTTAATCTGTTCTAGATTTTGTTGTGATTGCTGTGCATGAACATGATTATATGCATGAAAAGATGCTGATGTAACTCACCTGGGCCTTGTTATGCATGTAATCACCACCAGACCTGGGGTTTCCTCAATGCCTCCCAAAAAATTATGCTAATGCTAATGCTAGCAGGCCAGTGTGACTCAACCTGCGCATCACTGTTACTCATATCAGTGGCAGAGCGACACAGTATGAGTGCACATCTGAAGAACGAAGCCCATCAGGAAGCTCTGATTTGCACATTATCACATTATGAGGAAACGGCAGTTAAATGTTCGATAAGACTTGTTGTGGAATTTTACTCACTTCATTAACTGACTAAACCACATGCTGTGGTGGCTTTGATGTGGCATTGATTCAAATAAGACATCCATGTGTCCAAAGGAAGCAGCGTTAATACTGCCAGAGTTCTAGATCCACTCTGCTGCTGCAGCCGCTGACGAAGTGCAGCAGTTTACATTCACAAATGAATCACAGTTAATTTTAATGGTGAAAACATCTGTTCAGTTGGAGAAACAGGTGACTGAAATCTGAGGGGTATTTCTGTTAGTGTGGTCACAACTCCAGCTTTGACTTTATATAATGTTTTTAACAAAGAGCATGGACATTCATCGGCTTTTTTAATAATACGGGAAGAGGGGGTCTCTCAGGGCGTTTCATTCAGTCAGTGGTTTTATTTGAAATTAGCAATGAGACTAAGACCCCCTCATTGCTAATCTCAAATAAAATCACTGACTGAATTAAATGCAATTACAAATGGAAAATACAGCCAATAACAGATCGTTTTTACATAGAAATGATTTATACAGAAACGTTTTCTTTCTATCCGACAATTAGGATCTTATCAAACTGTAGAAATGAGTTTTGGTATCATTCCACACTTTCAGAATCGATATTAGAGCTGGGTGTTACGGTAAACATGTCATTTTCATGTCACAATAGAGTTTCATTCTCTGGGAACTGATTTTTTTCAACAGACTCATGTTTTTAAACTCATTGTAGTAAAGCTCTTATTTCTTTATTATGTTTTGGTTTAAAACAAAAAAAGATTAAAATCTTGAAGCCCAACAGAAAATTGTCCAATCAGGATTGTCCTCTCTGTGGTATCTAGGCAGATACAGCTGAGCTGATCTCTCATTGGTTAGGACTTCAGGAGCTGAAGGCCTTACACT